ATGTTACTAACAACTGATATGAAAAAAAAAAACATTTTACCAATTGACTTAATGATAGATTGTATTTGCTGAAAAGGTGTTTGAATCGACCATAGAAATAACGAAATTATGATTTTGAACGAGACTGCTAATATTCTTGTTGCATCAACTTGTATGTCAATAACTTACCTTGTTTTAGAAATTGTTTATATACGTAGAGAATGTTCTAGCGCATCGAATCAACTGAGAGATATACTCCGTATGCTGGTGAGGAAGTTATGCTTCTACATATGTCATCACGTTTATCATTAAGATTGGCTTTTAGATTGACAATAAAATTGTTTATAAAATCTAATTTTGAGAGACACAACAATACCATTGAATGGTAAATGCAAAATTATTAATGGGATACGTCTGTATATTATTTATGTTTTCTATTGTAAAGTAAATAATGTCAAAACAACACCCCCCCCCCCATCCCCAACTCCTTTACCTCCTCCTCTCGGTTCATACAAACCTGGTCTAAAAGGGAATTGGACATAGTTTCAACTGATTTTTTTCAATCCAATTTTATGGATACAATTCCTGACTAAGGCAATTCTAATGATCAATAAAAATTTGTACTTCATTTGTTGACTTACAAAGGAGATACAGAACTAAAAATTCTTCATTATATAAACAAGGCTCGTGCCCTGTTTTTGTTTACATATAGAAAATAACATCTTTATAACAAAACGAGATTCAACAAATTACTATAAATGAAACATATGGAGATACTAGTACTCAAGATCAGTATTCAAGATCAAAAGTTCATGAAACAATGCAAAATAGGAGCAGAGCAAACACGGACCTCCAAAACATCAGAGGTGGGATCAGGTGCCATGGAGGAGTGAGCTTGTATTTAAAATTAACTTCTTTACTGAAAAAATCTGTTTTGAACGACGAACATATATATTAAGTATATTTAACCTAAGATGTAAACAAAAACATGACAAGGACCCTGTTTACATGACAAAGGTTTGAAGCTCTAAATCTGTGTTGTACTGAAATTCAAATTTTCGATGATCATAAGAATTAAATTCGTTAAATATTTGTAAAAAAAAAAATGGATAAACAAATTTGAAAAATTTCAGCTGAAACTGTGTCCATGACCCTTTAATAACTATGCATAATATGCGAAGTAGTTACTACTAAATTAATAAAATAAAAAAGATTCATCGGCGAGCAGATTCATGTAACCATATAGAAGTACTACTTGACTGTTCTGATGTTACACGATACAGTCATGTATTGAATAATCTTAAGATCTTCTCGATAGATATAAAGGGAAATGACTGAGTACATCTCCCGGACTTAGTGATGAACATACTTATTCACTAAGTGATATCTGGTTAGTGTGTATGTAAAAATCACTGTCGTGAAGTCTCTTGATCAGGGAAAACATTTATATTTTTCAGTGAAATTTTAAGGCAAGTACGCTTTTGGTAGATAAAAACGCTTTGAACACTTTGATTGAAATTATAGATTATTCTTAAAGCTTAATGAATAAAAAAAGGTTTAAAAGGGGTTTAAGTACGTAGCAGAAAACATACTGTTATTTCAACTTCTTTTCAAATTTCAAGAGTAAAAATTCCTGAAACTGATAAAAAATTCGCTATTCTTTAGCCATAATAAAGAATAAAAAAAGAAATTACAGGAGAAGACAAAATTATATTCACTTTCCTTTTGATCAGACACGAACAAGTACATGACGATCAAATTTTGCTGAAGAATAACCGAAACACCTCTGATACTAGGTGTATTTTGAAGCTGAGAATTTGACGAAATTGTAGAATTAAAAAAAAAACCCAGACGCGAGTGAGGTTGTATATTTCGAGCAATGGAACAAAGCGAAGATCTTCGAGACGGGAGGAGCAGGTAATTGATCAAAAAAGAGGAACTATTTTATCAATATCAGTCTATTTTTAACATTTTGTTTGTTAAGTAATGTTAACCTCTAAAGAGATTGTCCAGAATGCTTCGACTTTCTTTTCTTATGATTTTCTAAATTAAATATTAGGCCAATTAATTAAAAAGAAGCTTGTAGAATTTAATTTGGTGGAAGTTACTATTTAAATAAAATATATAAATTATTATAATGTTATTTTCCAATTGCAAGGTTGTAAAAACATTAGTACTTAAAATATCTATTGGTGTACCTATAAAATCCATTATTCTTCCGCAATTTGAATCGTATGAAGAGACTGAAAGATGCATGGTATTCGTAAAAAGCCTGATAATGAGTGTTTTACAGACACACAGACACAAACTTTTGTAATTTGCAGATCATATGTTTATATTGAGTTGATTTTATTCCATACTTAGTTTCAGGAGGAAGATGGAGAAGGTGTTCCATAGTCCAATCACCCACGGCATCATCATTGCTCTTATCATAATAGATGTTCTCCTCCTACTAGTAGTGCTGCTGGTAGACATCGATGTCATTGAAGGTACATTTATCATATTTTATTGTCATTTCTTGTTTTTTTTCCTAATGTATTGAACCTATGTAGAAATGAAAATGAATATTATTGATAGATAAACAACGTCGATATATCAAAATGTTGAAATGAAGGTCACAGCAAGAAATTTAGAACTTCTTTTCATGTAGAAGTTTTATTAAATGAATTCTGCTTTGTATGGTATGAATACAGAAATAAGCTGTAATTGGTACCCGTTTGTATTTCCAACAGATTGTTGAAAGACTCGATATCCAATAAATAAATAATATTAAAAGATTTTATAAATAAAAAAAATAGTTTTTTTAATTTAACCTCGAAGCACTTATGTGAACAATCAGAATGTTTTTAGCAAAATGTTTTTGCAAATGATCAAAGACAAAGTAGATAAACATACTGGTTCCGTTTAAGAGCTGTATATGAGGTCAAAATGCCTGGAATTTATAACTCATGGTTGTGAATGGAATGGTTTCTTTATTACAGTGCACGCCGAGTCTCCCGAGGAGGAAGAGGAGAAGAAGGAGAAGTTGGAGGAGGAACTTCACTACGCCGCCCTCTCCATTATCTCCCTTTTCGTGGTAGAGGTATAGCATTAAGTGTTTATTTCTGTCTCTTAGAATAATTTTAGTTAGGAAAAAATCAATTGTATATGCGGAACAGATTTAATCTCTTTGTAATTGAACTTATATATTAATTAAATTTTTGAGCTTCTAATTTCAATTTTTTTTTACATTTATAACAAAATTCTATAGGAATATAAAAAGTTTTAAAAAATTTTAAAAATTATGCATAAATATAAATATTATAAACATTATTTAATGCATAAATGAATAAGTTGACATTTGACAATTAAAAAGGTACCTTATTTTTAGAGGTCCGTATATGCTCTGCTCCAAATATCCGCTTTTTAAAGGAGTTTAGAGCTTGGTTACTGTTTGTTATGTTGATATTTCATGACAGGTGGTTTTGAAGATGGCAGTAGAAGGAAAACACTTCTTTGATGACAAGTGGGAGGTAAAAGCAAAAGCATATGTATATTGTCTTCCTCTTCAAAATTTGAAATTTAATTGGATATTTTTATTTTTTTTTATTGAAAATCTTAAGGCACCAGTATATATTTGTAAATCAATTTCAAAATATTTTGGTTGTACTTTTCTGTGTTTAAATTATTAATTACGTGGTCAGGAATAGTGAATCATTGCACAATGTCTTCTACATATATGTTCATCAGATATTTGATGCTGTAATCATCTTTGTGACCTTTGGCCTTGACCTGGCGCTAGCGTTCAGTCCCGTTAGTTACGTGGTCAGGGATAGTGTGTCATTGCTCATCTTCTTCAGATTGTGGAGAGTCATCAAAATCATGGCGGGTGAGAAAACATTTTACCATCTACAGTATATACGGAAAAATATTATAATTAAATAATCTATTTTTTTGTCAACAAAATGAATGAATGAACTTCATGAAAAACCGATAGTTGCACAATCTTACCTTTTAAAATTCAATCTTTGTGAAAACTTACTTACTAAAGATTAAAAATTACACTGAAGTTTTTTTTTCGAATAGAAATCCAGTACTGTGTAAGAAAGGAGGTTCCTGAAACCATTGATAAAGAGAAACTGGCCAAGGAGAAAGCAGAGTGGCTGGCAAGACGCAGGGAAGCCCATACTAAGGTTAGCATGACTGTAAAACTGGCACTTTGCAGTAAGGGATTTGATAAGTATGAAAGGTATAATAATAATTAACATTAAATTTTGAAAAATAAAACATACCAGAGAAAATTACTTTTTGTGATACGCGGCTTATGAGGTTATCATAATAATTTAACTACTTGCCTTATCATCATTTAATAGATTAAAGAATGCCTTAAATCACAACTGTTTAAAACTCTTTTAAAAAGTATCATGTCATTGATTGATTTTATTATTTAATTAACAAGCAAAAAAAAAAAAAGATAAAAGATGAAAAGTATGTTTCATTATATGAGTACGAAAACATTACAATCGTTAAAATGTGGTGCAGTAAATCTTGTCTAATCCAGATGTTGTGTAATCTGAAATCTAATAAGGTGTTCACTCAAAGTACGTTATAAAAAATTCACTTCATACATATAATTTTATGTATTCTCGTCTAATAAGGTGTTAACTCAAAGTACGTTATCAAAAATTCACTTCTTTAAAATCTTGATTAATATGGAATCTTGTCTTACTTACTTGGAATCAGTGGTGTCCAAATTAAACACGTTTTGCTGTATAGTATGAATTCTTTTCGATAGATAGTTTTATTATAAATATATATTATTTTTAACAATCTGTCGTCCAATCTTGTTGTAAATTACTAGATGAAGGTAAATACAAATCATGTTGTAACTTTACACAACATGATACTCCTCAACAACAAGAAATGCTTTCAAATTTCTACGTTTAATCAGACAAAAAAAATGTAACTTGATGTATTTTACTAGACTTTATTTTTAAATTAGAGCATAATATCGTCGCCATCACGTGATACCCTTTATTTAGTCATTGTATGACAATGCTATTGTCATGATAAAATAATCAGATATCATCTCTGGGGTGTGAATGAACGACTGAGTTTGAACGCATTATGTCAACTTCAAAATGTCACACTGAATAATGAAATGCAAGTAGGTAGTATAACTTGTTAACCTAATATAAACAAAAGTGTTTACAATAGGACACCCTTTGGAATGCCAGTGATAAATCCTTTATCATTTATTAACTTAAATACTATCACAATGCGTGGATGAAATGCTATATCAATTTGCTACATTATTGAGAAGACGAAACTTTTCTTGTTGCTCAGAATGATGATCAATATTTCACAGCTTTTGATTATATGGATTTCTATTTTGGGTATAATTTGTTTGATTATCTATTTTCTAAGCTTACTTATTCGTCGATATTAAATGATAGTGATTGAAATGTATGTTACATTGGTAAAATTATGTTTCCTTTATACATGTCTGCAAACTTTTCTCTCATACTTTTTTAAAAATCATTTTAATCATTTTTTCCCCACTTTCCTTAATAGGTTTAACTGTGAGCTCTTCAAGTCAAACCAGGTTTTCTCAAAATGCACAGGTACAGTACAAGTAGAATAAGTAGAATTTCAAAGATAATCATCTTAAAATATAAACCCCCTTTATGTTCCTGGACAGAACATCCTTTGTAAAATTACAAAGCCAAAATTCAATAGCACAATTGATTTAGCACTTTATAAAATTAATAATTCATTTTAGAACAAAACTAATGCCTTCAACAGTCTATCAACACACATTTCTGTAAATACTGTAAACGTACTTTTTTCCACGGGGTCATAATTCCGCGGAATCTCAATTTCTGTTTAATCCGCGGGTAGAAAATTACGCGGATTTTCTAGATTGTCACTATATGCCAAGTACATTTATATTAAGTACGCTTGGACAAATTTCCGCGGAAAATTTGTGACCACGTACATAGCGTAAATTAATACCACGCGGAAAAAAGTACTTCTACAGTAATCAAGTGTGTTTTTCTGTTTTATTTCAGAGTAAATTTAGGAGATCGATTTTTAACTTTCATCTCCATAAAGATGGTCATAAAAGTACACCATTTACTCCTGTGCCTTTTTCACAGAATAATGTATCATTTGGGGCCTCACAGAGACATACAACGACATCTTCTTTAATATTGAGTCGATTGTCCTCATTGTCTGGACCCCGAACATCTGGATCAACTTCTACACGCTCATCTTTCGCAAATACTTTGAAGGTCAAAGCTTCGAGTTCTTTGTTAGCCATCTCACAACCTTCAGTAACTAGTCCTATACCTTCAAATACCTTCAATTCACAAACCGATTATTTTACAGCTTCGACACCCCCAAAATCTAAAGTTTCTTCGACTCATAACATGAAAATCCAAAGAACTGAATCTTTTCCTACTTTAACATTTGTTCGGAAAAATTTCACCTCTTCGACATTGAAAACTATAGAGTCATCAAATGCTTTATCTCACTCTACCGTTTGGAAAACGTCAATACCCAACCAAGCAAGTTCAAAGTACATTGCCAAACCATCATCGATTTTGCATGAAACGACAATGCTTTCCACTACATTAACGTCAAAACCATCAAATGATTTAAAGACAACCACAAGGATGAATTTCCAAAATATAACAACTCAAAAAACTTCTGGAAAAACACCTACAAAAACCGTTAGCTCTAAAACTACACTTACGGAAACAATCCTTACAATGTTATCGTTCTCTACTACTAAATCAACAGATCAATCCAAATTATTAACAACGATAAAATCGCTTATTACGAAATCAACAATTCGAACAACAAAAGAACCTTCCAAAATAGCAACACCAAAAATTCCGTCTTCTACAATGACACCAATTTCAATAGTGGTAACTTCCAAAACAACAACACCGAAAAGTCCTTTTTTAACAAAAGCAATTCAAACAACAATGGAACCACCCAAAACAACAACGACAAAGGCCCCATTTTTTACAAAAACAACGAGTCCATTAAAAACAGAAGCTTCCAAAACAACAACGACAAAAAGTCTACCTTTATCAAAGACAACGATTCATATAAAAACAGAACCTTCCAAAACAACAACGACAAAAAGTCCAATTTTAACAGAAGCAACAATGCAAACGACAACAGGACCTTCTAAAGTAATAACGCCTAAAATTCCACCTTCAACAAAGACGACAATTCAAACAACAGTAGAATCAAAGACTTTGATCCCTACAAGTTCATCTTCAATAAAAGCAACACCATCAACAACATACAAGTCTCATTTGTCAACAACAATATCCTCAAAATCTTCTATTCATATTTCTGCACCTTCAACCTCGAATGAAATGCCAATATCAGGATCAGGTATCACTACCAAAGCATCAACACTGAGATCTTCATTTAAGACAAGCACTCATACGACAGTACATAAAACCACTTTACCAATACAAACAATACAATCATCAACTGTGCATGCTACACCAAAAAGTACTTCATCTACATCTGCCATTGGATCAACCACGGCTCAGCTTATTGAGAGTACAACAGTTTCACCAAGTCATAGAACTTCTACAACTCTAAAACCTAGTACAGGATCGTATTCCGGGACGTCACCTAGATTCACAGGTACCACACCTGTCGCTTCATCTTCTGGAATTTCTAAAACGCAGAAAAGTCCAACGACAGTTTATGGACATTCAAATTCAATCCATCATACAAATGATATTTACACCACCGAGATGGCCGTGTCGTCCACCCCCGATAACTCCCTGTCCAATAAAATCCCTCAAAGAACTGGATTGAGCAAACGTTCAATCGGCGCCATTGCCGCGGCCTGCACAATCGTTGGGTGTGTCGGCATCATTTTGGGCTTATATGTATTCGTTAGTAAACGGTTTAAAAGTGGAGAGAAATCGTGGGCAGTGGTTGACGATCATACCCGCATTGAGACCATTGACATGAGTGAGAAGATGGATAGTGTTCTGCACGACTTCGATCAGGGTGAAAGGAAGTCAAATGGAGAATCCTTTCGACCCGTTAATGACATCTAGAAAACAGTCATACCAATTCATTCGATTTCATCCATCGCTATTTTAAAAGCATTCATGCCTTTCTACTTTTTTTTTTATTTTATTAGTATTATGTGAAAATTTTCGGTGGTTTTTAAACCATGTATTGCAGTGGCGAATATCCACAGTTACTTAATGAATTAAAAAAACAATTAAAATAAATCTGAACAATTTGTAATTTTAAGGTACTTAACTATATCGTTTAGAATCAGTTTATCAGAGTTGAACTCTGCAAGTGCAAAATGGTCGGCTGGACCGCATTTTGTGATGTAAAGAAAATGTTATTTGAATTGATATGTAGATAGAATAAATATACAAAAATACCCGAGTTTTAATTTATTTGTTCCTCTCGCTTCTACAAAAGTTGACAAGGATATTTTTCAATAATAATCTTCAAAAGTTTATAATAAAACTTTTTTACAAGTATATCTGATTATAAAAGATTAAACAATACTGATGCAACACATGTGCAAAGCCGTACATTAATCTATATTTCAGTACTGATGATATACCTGTACCACAGATAAGGTTAACAATGCTATTGTTTTGATTAATGATAAATAGAACAAGAGGTAAACCAGTGAGACTAGATAAAGTTTAAAATATCAGTAGGTCATAATGGATGATGAAATTGTTACATTAACAATTGAACTAACATATGAAACAAGAATAAAATAGAGATAGGGTCTCTGAAGAATATAAAAGAGAAAAATGTATAACAAATACATGTATCAGCATTTGATAGATCATGCGAAAATACTCAATTGCTTGATTAAAAGTTGAAAGAAAACATTCTACTACAGGTATATACTGGCTAGGGGGTGGCAATTAAAATAAAATAATTGCTATTCAGTTAACTACAAGAAATTATGACCGATTAACCAGTTTATAGTATTACAATACAAATTTCTAGTTAAATTTTACAATAAAAATGAGGAAAGTTGATGAAGTTAAAAGCTGAAGTCGTCTTTTTTCATACAGTTTAGTTCTTAGTTTGAAAATACCGTCTATAGTACTTAGCTACATTTCATGTTAAACTATAAAACAGATGTGGCAGAGTTTGTGGTGTCTGTTTTGTTCACATAAATGGAAAGATTAAGAAAAACGATTGATGATAAAAAAAATCTACAAATAAAATCTCACATATTCCGGAGATGGGATCACGGTCCTAGGAGGAGTAAGCATCCCGTGTGAACGGTCACACCTATTGTAAGTCCTGTTTGTTCATCACGAAGAAGTTTTAAATACTCTGAAACTAATTCAAAGTAGTTTAGAGTAGAAAAGGATTTACCAGGAGAATCTTTCAAAAATATAACTACCCGAGCTGTAATTCATTAAGAGTGCATTGAGATCTATGGGAACAAGCAATATCAATACTATGAATATCAAAAAATGTTATGGTGAAAAGATGCATGTAATTATTAAGAAAAGAAAACGATTAAAATCTTTTTTTCACCAGATAGATTTTATAAAATGATTTTTCTTGATTAAAAGCAAAGTGGGATAATTCTTCAAGGACGGGTCAAGGTCAAAAATTAGGATACATTCCGCTCTTACGTACTAAGACTAAACCATGAAGATTATGTCTCCATATACTGGGTATTCAGCCATTATAATGCATTCAAATCCATAGAATCTGAGGTTATTATGGATCATCATCATCATCATCATCAACTTATGCAGCAATATACCTTCATCAACTGCATACGGAGTTAATACATCTCAGTTGATTCGATACGCAAGAGCATGCTCTACGTATGAACAATTTTTAAAACGAGGTAAATTATTGAAAAACAAGTTGATGAAACAAGAATATCAGCAGTCTCGTTTAAAGTCATAATTTCGTAAGTTCTATGGTCGATAAAATGACCTTGTCAGCAAAACCAATTAACAATTGAGTCAAATGCTGACTGACGTTTTTCATACTATTTGTTAGTCCATTATTTATAATCTGAATTGACGGCGGATTTTTTCGTTATTTCACAATCATAACAAGGAGCACTCGGAGGGTGTGACCGGTCAGCAGGGGCTGCTCACTCCTCCATGACACCTGATCCCACCTCTGATGTTTTGGAGGTCCGTGTTTGCTCTGCTCCGTATGCAGGTGATGAAGGTATATTGCTACATAAGTAAGGTAAGTTGACGATAGAAAGGTTGAAGTCATCACGTTTATCATAGAGCTTGTTTGTTAGATTACCATTAGCGTCTTTTTCGAGTAAAATATCCAAATATGAAACAGATGTGTCAGACTCTGTGGTATCTTTTACTTCAAGCTGACTAAGAATGGAAATTACCATTTTCAGTTGACAATGCGTCGTCGTATCTAAATGTCGAGTTGAAGGCTACAGCAAGTGGATTTTTTTCTTTTCACGTACTAAGATTTTGCACAAATTCTGCTTCATATTTTTTCTTACCATTACAAAATTAAAAAGGTCTATTAAGAATTATATAGTAAATTTGGTGTTACTTTTTCGCTCGTCTCTGACGAATAGATTTATTTGTTTTTTATTTCACACAGATATAATATTGATAATATATGACAGCGAATCAAATTACATATATTAAATAATGCAGTAAATATTCAATAAACGAGGAAAATGACCCCCGGCGTATCTACACTGAAAAATTCTTCAGTTCCAGAATGTCTCTATTATTCCGATTATGAAACATTTTTTATTAAAAAAAATACATAACAATCTGTGCTTTCAACGAAAGCTACTTTGCACAATCCATTAAGAAACGCCGTTGAAGCAATTAGACTGTAAAAGTAAAAGAAATAAAAGTTTCCTGTGTTATTCATAAAATATTATAAAATTCTGCATAATATGGGGAACAGGCAGAACATGTTACTGAAGGAAATTAACACAAATCGTTTATCAGTATTCAGCATTTTGTTTTCATAATTTCCCTTTCCCGTTATTTACATTTGAAGTTTGTACTAAATCAAAAATCGGGGACGCTTGGCAGTGTAATGCAACAAAGGACTTACACCGGATGTCAGTACTAAATCTAAGTAGTTAGTCTATCGTACATCTTACTTAATCCGACAAATAACCGGTTACACACTACGCGCCTTTTTACACTGATCCCAAATCGAGAAGAATCTAGTTTCACGGAAATATTATGACTTGTGGAAATAATGTGGTGTCTGCTGGTTGTGTTAGTGTTGTTCTGTTTTCCATTTGTTTGTTTCTGTCAGAGTACGAGACGTAACACAGGGGGAGTAACTGATGGCGTGAAAGGTTTGTGTTTGTGTTTTGAAAAAAAAAAATCAATATTATTCTTTATACAAATCAGCTTAATCTTATGGATTGTTATTGGTTAACGTTTAGAAATTCTGAAGTAGTCTGAAATTGGTTTTTCATTCAGATTTCAGTTTCATTTTGCTTCAATATTTATCAAACATCCTTTCATTATATTAAAACTGTATTGCCAACATTATTATTACTAGTATTTTTATTTTGATGATTATCAAACACGTGACTTCAATCAAAAGAAATGTATGCTTTTTTGTTTTTCATAATTGCACACATCTGTTTTCTGATTGGTCCAACAGAGGTTTGTCATGGTAATGGAAAGACAACAAAGATCGATCTCGTGGAAGGGGAAAGCGGAAGTCTGCGGTGTGACGTCACATTAAACTACACCTCTGACCTGGATATTCGGTGGTTTGCCAGTAATAACAAGAAGGAAAACACATGTATGAATACCTGACCAGACATATATATGGAACGCCATGGCTGCCTTATGTTACAGGATTTTATTATATGCTGTGGTTCTATAATTATATAATTGTAATACTTGAAATTTTCCCTTTCTTCTGACGGAAAAGCCCGAGTCATTATCTGATTGTTCTAAACAAAGACAAGGGAGGTTTTTTTTTTGCTAGCGCGCGGCTTCATGGTCGGGCATTCTGGGAAAACTTCACACGGTCTAGCTGTCAGTGAAAACCACCATTGATAGATTGTACTATAACAATTTCGTTGTGTTTTTAAGTAACACGGGTCTTTTCTGTTTGATTCTGAAGTTTGTTTATACAGTGTAACTTACACTTTAATGTAAACTACACAAGAAAAAAACTTAGGTCATATAATGCAAAGATTCTAGACATCTAGCTTGCGAGTTCTACCACCTTCCTGGATAATGCCGTCAACCTCATAAACAATTTCTTTTTTTGTTTTTGTTTTCAAAGTTTATTGAATTGGCAAGACACAATAAGCGATTGATATGTAATGCACTTCCACACTAATATAATTTTAATTCTATAAAGTACACTTCACAAAAGATTACTCTAACCATCAGACTTCATACTCCTTAAACATTAAAGACTTCAGCAAAATAAATTAGTTGACCACGGATCTTCCTTTCTGTATTTAAAAATTGCTACGGCGCTAGCTTTTTTTAAAAAGATAAAGTTGTTCCTATTACGGTTAGGCCTGTTGCAGTTGCCGCCATTTTTGAGCAAGTAAACTCCAAAAACGAGAAGTCCTGATTCGAATAGCTAGTTTCTAATAAACCGACAGAATATATAATAATAAACCCACAGCATATAATTATGAACCCACAGCATATAATAATGAAACCACAGCATATAATTATGAACTCACAGCATATAATTATGAAACCACAGCATATAATATTGAAACCACAGCATATAATAATAGATCCACAGCATATAATAATAGATCTACAGCATATAATTATGAACCCACAGCATATAATAATGAAACCACAGCATATAATTATGGACCAACAGCATATAGTTACAAACTCACAGCATATAATTATAGAACTACAGCATATAATTATAGAATCACAGCATATAATAATGAAACCACAGCATATAATATTGAAACCACAGCATATAATAATGAAACCACAGCATATAATAATAGATCTACAGCATATAATTATGAACCCACAGCATATAATAATGAAACCACAGCATATAATTATGAACCAACAGCATATAGTTACAAACTCACAGCATATAATCATAGAACCACAGCATATAATTTTAGAACCACAGCATATAATAATGAACCCACAGCATATAATAATAGGTCCACAGCATATAATTATAAACCCACAGCATATAATAAAAGAACCACAGCATATAATTACAAACCCACAGCATATAATTATAGACCCACAACATATAATAAAATCCTCTAACATAAGGCAGCCATGGCGTTCCATACATATATGTATATTTGTACAAATTATTGTATATCTGTACAGGTCATTTATGCTAAATTGAAACAAAGAGCCTCGAACAATTTCCTTTGGAAGAAAAGGTTTTCTTTACTCAGGATTAGTTATATTTGTAATACTAGGCTCATATGAATCAAATTTTCGAACGAACAACGAAGTTTGAAATTCTTTTTCTTGATTTTATATCTCAGACAGGTATATCGATTCCTTTTGAAAACCGATGTTAAAACTATAAAGATCTATGCGTTAAGTCTGAAATACATGAAAAATCACTTTCAGACACAAACCTCTCAAAAATGGTCTGAAAATTCTTTTCTCTTGGAATGTTTTAGTGTTATTTAGCCTAAACGTTTCATTAAACAGGTTTAAAAAACATGTATAGACTAAGGTGACCTTTTTTCAGTTCTAGATATCACTGGGGAAGAACTGAAAATAAGCAACATATCCAGATCATGTGTGCCTAGAACATTTCGTTGTGAAAGTGTAATTTCCGGCAGATCAGTTTGCAATCAAACATTTGAAACAAAAGTCCTAGGTATGTTTGTCTAGCTTAAAGTTAAGTCTATTTACGCTGTTCTTTAAAGGAACTTGTGGAATGAAAATAAACAAATTTATGTTAAAATCTTATTGGCAGTCCAAGGCAACATAGCAGCTCCATGTTTCCAAAATACATGTACTGTAAATGTGGTTATATTGACAAGTTGAAAAATTGACGATTTTTTGTTTAAGAAAATTGAAAAAAGAATTTGGCTGGGAGACATACCAAAATCAAGGAAAGCTTGACTAGAAATTAAGTTCAATAAATGATTCAAACCAGTGGTCTCCCAGCCACAATATTGTTACAACACAAAGATGTGAAAATGCAGTTAAAATACAACATCAAACTTTATTGAAAAACTAAAGTGGTACATAAATCAAAAACGCCATATATATTTCCCAGAAATTACTGCAACATTTCTCAGGATATATTTAACTAAAAAAATCGAATTAACAACTTCAGGTACTTACTCAGTACTTGAGAAAATAAGATATTATTTTAGATTTCATTAGGGTATGACATGAAGTCGGTCACGTGATCAAATTCTACAATGCCCGAAGGGAGGAGTAGTAGATTTGATCATGTACCGAGGAATTCGTCTGTAGACTCTTAAAAGTTGTAGTTAAATTAAAAATTACTTATCAAAAAATGCTCAGATATATGATTAGTAAACACAACACAAAATGTAGAGAAAAAACGCGATCCATTCCTGCCCTGCCAGCTCTTTCCCTCTATTAAACTCCTTTCCATTTTTCAACATTTTGTTCCATGTGAATCAATAGTAGCAGGCCGCTGAGTGACTAAAATTAAGATAGAAATTTGATGAAAAAAAAATTATCAAAAAATTTGGCCATCAGTGCAAATCTTTTAGTCGCTACATAGTTTTATTTAGGTGCCAAATGAAAAAGTTAATAGAAATCGCCATAGAAATCACGAAATGTCCATTGCTAAAAATAATTTGTCTTCTTTTCAACACTTTTCGTTTCTTCGTGAAATGAAATTGTTAAAAATGTTAAAAGATCCGGCCAAGTTAATTTTAAACTGTCGCTAATTTGGCGACTTATGGAAAAAAATCAGGCGTCAATTAAAATTTTTTCAGACTCCATTGCGACCATATTAGTTGGCAATTGGAACCCTGCGTAGACATTGGAATACTCAGTTTTTCAGAATTTTGGATAGTTTAGCAGTTCGTTGATATATACTAGAGGCTTGTTTAAAGTTAACTTTAGTTAAAGGATACTGAGCAGCTATGGTGGCATACCCAACAATCTACACAGTGTTTCTTCAAGCAAGTTCCTAACATAGGCCTGATAAAATCTATTTGCATTAAACGTATTTTCTCCGTTTCTTCCACGTTTTTAATTATAGGTCCGCCATCACTTTATATCTACATGGAGAAAGAAGACAACATGATTAAAACAAAAATGTATAAGGATCATCTCAAAATTGCCTTGGATAAGAGTTCAGCTAAAAGAGGAATTATCTGCTCAGTGGACTCATATCCGGTTTCTAATATCACGTGGTACGAGCCATTAAGACATAATGGTGCTGACATGATTATGGGATATTTACTTTGGAATAAGGATAAAGCTGTGAAGAACCAGACCTTTGGAGGTACAGTGGACGGTTATCGATTTGAATTTAAAGAAAACATAAATTTTCAAAATATACTCTCAACTCGAGACCTGGTGATGAATATTCAGGTCGGTGACACACCCGATTACAATAGGACGTATACCTGTAAGGCTGAAAATAAATACGGTTCTGATTCATGGAATATAAGAATTGTGGAAGATTAAATCTAAATATGGAATAAATAATTAAACGATTAACACTTTTTAAGATATTTATATATACGAGTACTGTAAAATAAAGACATCTTCAAAACAAAAAACATTTTTGATTATTGTACAATTGTATATTAAAATATTTTGTGATGTGTAGGAGCAGTGGCGTCTAAAAAAGAGAAGAAAATATACGATTGATTTGTTGGACAGAGATTAAAAAAAAACCCATGGATATATATCTGTACCATCATGTTCATCCCATATTCCATTCAGTTGTCTTTGCATCTAAAAAAAAAATTAAGGCCGAGGTTTTGTAAATCGATTCATACATACGGAAACAAAACGTTGACAAAGTGAAGAACATGACCTGACAAAACCAAAAACATTGAATAAGATCACGGAACATTACGAGGGTTGTTCAATAAATAATGTCCTGAACTGTGTGACATACAATACAGATATCATATGACATTAAACTTGACTTTCTCTCATAATTGAATCTTTAATAAATTTGTAAAAGTTTATGTGACCACTTTTCATCACATAGTTTCATTGTGAGAAGCTGGGAAACAGGGGTATTCTAGACACTGCGTTATAAATGAATGGGAAAGAATCGGTAAACTAGAGTGAAAATAAAAGCTTCATCAAAGCTGCTGTAAAACTTGTTGAAAATCCCAAAGAAATATTCACTGAAATATGTGACATTTACAGCAACCAATGCCTGTTTTATAGACAAATGAGCAGGTGGATTTCAATGATAAAAAATTATTTAATGGGCATCAAAAATGGGTACCGTCCTTGCAAACAAAAAATTATAACAACTTATGTACTGTTTGCCAAATTTTAACAAATAGTACTTGATGATGTAGGATTGACTTTAAGATACAAAGCAAATTTGATAGACATAACATTTAGTTTACACTTTTTTAAAGAAACGTTTGACGGTAAAAAAGCTTAGTACTCAAAGGTCATCCTATATTTTGAAAAATGAGTGAAAACGACAGCGTGTACAAATGTCTTTCTATTTTTTAAAAAAAATATCAGTAATTGGAGTTATCCACGTTTTTTTTTAAGTTCAAACATATAATGGAACTTGGATCTATTGTTTAAATTCCTCAAAACAAAATTTACCATAAGATGTACTTGACAAAAACAGCGAAGGTCTGGCGAGAGCAAGGAATTGCAAGAGACAAAGACAGATTTATATGCAATTTTCTTAAATATTAATGGTATTGTTGTTCGAAATCGTATTCGGGGTGACAGTTTAACTTCTGGAGGAGTCTAGAAAGCAAAATGTTTGCAAAAAAATCGAAAGGTTTACTAGGGGAAGAACCCAGAATCAGGAATCCACTACATTAAATTTCTTCATGACAGCGTCCAAACCCGCATGCCCTGAAGAGTAAAGGGGTTTTCGGTATAAACAGATACTTAATATTTTTTCACATGAACAATATTCGCCAGATCTTTGACCTTTTGACTTGAAAAAAAAACCTTTAATGAGGAAGAAACAAGTCCAGGAAATCATCGGATCTTCCATTTTACAGTATACTAAGGGTCATACCCAAAAATGAGTTCTACAATCAATCAGAAATTAGATAAAAAATGTTACGGACATGTGTTTTATTTAAAAGAGATTAATAAGTAAAATAATCAAGACTAAATCATTGAAAAGCGTCTTTTGCTTCTTTCCGAGCACCGAGGACATTATTTATTGAACAGCCCTCGTAAGTGGTCTGGCTTGATTGGAAATATAATATACAGCTTACGTCATTTCCACCTGTTTGGTCAAAAGATTGATTTAGATATGTAGGCATTTAACGAATTTCCATTTATAATCTTTTGAGCACCGGGGCCAAATTTTACCGACCCATTTCATTGTCTATCGTCAAATCTTTTGGCTTTCACAGATGGGATGCTCTTGCATATTGGAGAAAGACACAAAAGCTGAAGCTCAAACTTCAATTGAACAATATGGAATGTTAGCGAAGGAAATGCAGACCTCTAAAACATCAGACTTGGGATCGGGTGTCAGAGAAGATTAAGCACCTATTGTCAACTGTGAAACTTCTCATGATCAGAAGAAAATTATAAGCAACTCAATTTGAAAATAATGGCCTAACAATTTGTTGTGAATCATTAGTCAATATTCGACTTATCGATAGATTGTATTTGGTAACAAGATCATCGTATTTACCACAGAATTTGCGGTAAGATGACATTAAACAAAACTCTTGATATCCTTGTATTTGTCTATAACTTGCTTGTAGATAGAAAATGCTCGTTCGTTGAGCATTCTTTTGCATTTTTAATCAACTAAAAGATACATTAGTAATCTCTTTATGGAGGTGATTGTGCTATATTGCTTTAAAAATAAGGGAATGAACGAAAGAGATGTTTCTAATCAATGATGGAATGAAAATAAAAATTGTTTTATTGATAAAGCATCGTTAATATATCTAAATGTCGAAGGCCACAGACAGAAATAATTTTTAACAAATTAAAGAATAAATTTTGCTTTATATGCAAGTATACAAATAGCTGGGTACAATATGTACTTATATTGATTCCAAAAGATTATTAGGAGACTTTATCTTTAAGAAATAAACTGATAATGTCAATTGGAATCTCAAGCATCTATCAACTTTGGAGTGCTTTTGCGTATTATCATATTGTTTCAAATATAGAGATAACGAACATTAGTCCATTCTAACAACATGCAAATTAGAAGCAGAGCAAAAAGTACCTCTATAGCAACAAAGGTGGGATCAGATGTCATGAAAAATGACAATGTGAGTTAATTTACAAGTTACAGCTAATATACTTTTTTGAATTTTGCTCTCACCTACACTTTGTGCAATCAGGGTGTAGAAAGTACATTTTGTCTGAGAAACTTTCCTCTGCGGTTTCAAGTATTATATGCTGTTTGATAATGTATACCACTATATCATTTTCAGGGATAAAATACATAATCGCTCATGGTACTTACATTTTTAGAAACTCTTAATTGAGCACGAGTTTCTTAACGTTAACGCCATTCATTTCCTGCACTTATGCACCCTAGAAAAAATAACGAAGGAAACTGAATAAAAAAATATTCAGGGTAAGATTGACAGGGAAAAATATTAAGAAATATCATTTGAATGGCCAAAATAGAGACGTTGAAGACATTTCAGCGGGAACAATCCAACATTCCAAATTATTTTCGTGAACACTGATAGTGAAAAAAGGCTGTTATCCGTGCTGAAAGGGAAGCAACCAGAAATGAACATTTCAATTTTCTGTATGTAAATTAATATAATTTCAAATATAATATTCATTTTTTTTTTTTTGCAAAGTAATTTTTTTTCAAAATGTGCATTTAAAAAGTTCACAGAATGCTTGTCAGGTTAAAATGCTTTTGAACTAGTGCAGTATGTGCATACGCCACATGGTCAATATATAAATACAGTAACACAGGATCCAGAAAATTTTTCTTGATGTTCTTTCTTTAGGCTTAACGTAACTTGTATCCGAAAATGAGATTTTAATCTATTTGAAAATCAGACCTTTAAGGATTATCATATTGGGAATAAACAATCACTTTAGCTGGGTCATGGGTATTTTAATCTTCAAGGTTTTCGCCGTACATGCAGAAGATCGATTTGCAGTTATTTAATATTTATATATTTGATAAGCTTATTACAGTAAATCTGTATGAAGAGAACAAAAGCAGTACACATTCAACTGCTCTGAGATATTTTCATAAATTTTAATAATGGACGCTACTACCAAAGAAATAATGGAAAACACATCGGTAAGAAATTTCTTTCCAATCATTTATTTTATGATAGTAGTAATTCATTAATTGAAAATCGAAATGCCTTTGTAAAATGATATAAAAACTTCTGCCTCATGCAACGAGGTTGCTGTGACAAAGTTAAAAATAAAATTTACTTAACAAAATGTATATAGATGACTCTTGATATGTACGTAAGTAGTGGTAGATACTGTGGAGTTTATACATGAGTGAGTAGGAAGATAATACTTGAGACTAGAGTGTCCTCGATAATATGTACATATAAATAAGTAGGGAGGTAACAGTTTAGACTGGGGTATCCTTGATATGTACAAAATGGGATGACAAAACTATAGACTTCAGTGTCCTTGATATGTACATAAGTAGGGGGGATAACTTACATTACGTATACAAGATGGCAGGAGGGGGTGAATACGAAAGACTTTAAAAGTATCTAAACAGGGATGTTCCATTAGATACCGGTAGTAGGATGATGATATATCCAGCTATTATTAGAATTCAAAACTAAATACGGTTTGCCTTAAAATACCACTGTAACAAAGTTGTGAAATTATTATGCGGAAAAAATTATTAATATGCTATTTTTAAGGAAATTGGTAAGGAACTTATTCCCTGACTTTTTTTTTTAAAATTGTTATTGACAAAGATTTGGGGAATTCAGATATTGCATATATAAATAAAAAGTCTTTAATAGTTAAATGAACAGAATGAATTTCCTTTTCTGTTTAGTTATTTTTTTTTCACTTTCGTATATCTGAAAATCCTAAATCAATTAGCCCGTATACCTTTCACTTAACAATCGAAAATACCAATTTACAAAGATTAAAACATAAACCGTTTTTTTTTGTTCGTTTCTTTCTTTGTGCATTACAACAAAACATTAGAACTATGTTCCCATCAGATTAAAAAAATGCTTTGTAGAGGAAGTGTCAATCTTCTGCAATCTTTATACACTTCTTCTCTTCAATAGAAGCACATTAAGTGTGGAATAAGACCAGATTTTGTGTCATTTTCACTATGTCAAGGGCATTCTATAGGTAAAGACAATATGTAGAATATTCTATAGACTTAATGATCAGTGAGTCTCTCCTCAAGCAATTAAATATGATTTTCTGCAATGGCAGTCTCTAAGGATTCACCGACCCTGAAACAGGTACCGTTATACACGGAAACCCGTTCTGTCATTCATGTATGGCCGAGAGAGGAGCGTTGAATTATTTCCAATATTAATCAACAGACATGCCAATATAAAACCTTTCAATATTTAAGTGTTTTTGAATAAGCGTTTAAATAGACCGACATTTAAAACATTTAGTTTGCATTAAGGATTTCTTGTACTGCAAAGGAAATAAAATATATGACTAAAATAAGTGAGACATTTTCTCTTTAAGCACTGTGATGTATTGGAATACCCTCCCAATTCTTCACCAAGAATCAAAGCCGAACTGGACACAATGGAACTAAGGCGCAAAGGTGACATCTTTTAAGTAAAACATTTCTGTTTTAAGTTTAATCCAAAGATTTTATTACAAATTACAAATTTACATTTCCTTTTTCCTTGATTTTGGGTATGCGAAAATAAAGGTTGTTTGATTTAAAAAAAAAAAAATTGAATAACATATTTTATTTTTGTCCATTGTCTTGATTAGATAATTAGTCATGTATATTTAAAATTTCCAGCCTTTTTTTTTATCGGTAGCATATCTAAATTATTATTTTCCGTGGCATTCCTCACGTTTTTGTCTTTTATTATTTTATCTAATCGGGAAGAAATCATTAGATTTTTATCTGCATGTGTTAAGAAGGATATTGCTACTCTAAGTTTGCTTCCTGCTTTTCATTTCTTCCTCTTATATACATGATCTAAAGAGGAAGAGATAAGATATCTGATAAGATCACTTATGACTAAAAATGAATATGATGAACATTGTGATTTCGGGCATCAATTCGCTGGGTTTTTTTTAATTGTTTAGACAAATCATAAATCAATACTAAGAATCTTTGTCTGATAATACACCGGTCGAATGATATGTAAATTATTCAAATTTCATTTCGTTTTACAGGAACACAGTCAATTTATTCCAATTGGCAAGTTTACAGAGGATCTTTCCGATATAGTCTTTACTCGTAGTACGAGCATTCTTTCAAATGCCAAAACTTGTTAAATCAAGACTGTGTTTTACAGAACACGTTGTTCATATCAAAGATTACTCAACTGAGAGTTTGGGGTCAAAAAAAGATATATTTAACTTTATAAAAATGTTCTTACAAACTCTTTACCTATAATAGTGAATAATTTATGTTTATGAAAAAGCAACCAATGTCCACGCAGCTAGATGTACATGTACATGTTAAAAACGTTAAATCATATATGAAATCGAGAAGTAAAACTCTCAGTTGAGTTATTCACCCTGACACTATACTGCAATACTACAGTTTCTGATGTATCATTAATTTCAGTCTCAAAATATAATAATAAAAGTTTAAAGTCAAATTCAGATACATCAATTTTTTGAACCATAACAATAAATCCCATCTGTTCTATTTCCAGAAACTGACGAAATCAGGAAAGTATTCAAGGAAAATGGCCTCTTCGGATTAACTCGGTCAAAGACATTACCTCCGCTATCATGTAAAAAAGACCTCGCAGATAAAATAGGAGAAAATTCGAACGGTCCACGCCCATCTCTTCGAACAAACAGACCTGTTACCCCAAATTTTCCTTGTATCATCAAGCGAGTTAACAAATCCCCGATTAAGATTGACGCCCTCTTGAGAAATTCAGAGCCTATACCACACTTTATAGACAGAGCTTCCAGCCAGGTGCCAAAGAAAGCGTCCAGAGCCAAGAGCATACAGGGATGGCAGAACGAAATAAAGAAGTAAGTATGATAGGCTAGATTGATTGATTGTATGTGTATATTATTTAACGTCCCTCTCGAAAATTTTTCACTCATATGGAGACGCCACCACTTGCAAGTGGAGAGCTGCAAATTTTGTCCTATACTCGGCACTCAGGGCCATTGAGTAGGGAGGGATCTTTATCGTGCAGCACCTACTGCGACACGGGATCTCGGTTTATACAGTCTCATCCGAAGGACCGGTATCCACGTCCCACAGTGGGATTTGAACCCGCGACGTAAAGATCAACTCCTTACTTCGCGACTCTAGAGCTCTAACCACTGCGCCACGTGGGCGTGATAGGCTTGAAACAAATCCGAGAGCATACTCTACGTATGAATATCTAAAACGAAGTAGGTTGTTGAATTGACAGGAAAATTGATGAAGCAAGAATATCAGCAGTCTGGGCTTGAAGTCATTTTTTCGTAAGTTCCATGGTCGATACAATGACCTTGTCATCAAATACAATTAATCATTAAGTCAAATGCTAACTGATGTTTTTATACTATTTGTTAGACCATTACTTGATCACTGTGTTGTCGACGGATTTTCCATTATTTCCCAGTAACAAGGAGCACGTGTCGGGTGTGACTTGTCGGCAAGGGATGCTCACTCCTCCAAGGAACCTGATCTCTGATATTTTAAAGGTCGTAGTTGTTCTGCTCCAAATTTGTCTTGTTTAATGGATTTTGTGCTCAATAATGTTCGTTATCTTAATATATTTCATGGAACAAACAAAAGGTAACTTAAGGTTTAAGTATGAATTTGCAATTCTTGGTCAAGAGTGATCAGGACACAAATTACTAGTATGTTAATAAAGGGATAAAGTATCGAAAATATTACATTTGACAACTATGTAACTATCAAAATTGTAAATAAAATGGCAACATTTTACATCGATAATTAACATAACCGAGCAAGAGAATATAGAACTTACAATCTTAATTATGAAAGGAGGTTCATCTTGTTTTGAAATATATGGGACATAGAAGTAGGGATTGTATTTTTCCCGAGAAATATTCAAGCATTTATTGTTTCTAACACAATAACGGTCATTGCCAAAGACGCAACATATAGAAATAAGATATTGAATCATAAATACTGTTCATTGTTTTAGACCCTAAGTTATGGTATGCATATATTTTATACATGAAATAGGAAGATAACGAACAGTGAATATGCTCAGTATAGTCGAGTTAAACAAAACAAATTGTGAGCAGGGCAAAGACACACTTCAGAAAAACTGGGATCTAGGTAGATCAATTGTAGAGGAGGAATGAGCATCCCCCTGTGCACCACCCCTTAACCTCTTTTTGCTCCTTGTCATAAAATAGTAAACGGGGAAAATCCGTACATACTGTGTGAAAATAAAGGCCCAACAAATTGTATAAAATACGACAGTCAACACTCATCTTCAGATATTTTGTATTTGGATACAAAATCATTGTATCGACCAGAGAGAAATATACATGTTGACTTTAAACGAGGTTGCTGATATTCAGTTGTCGCAAACCACGGTCAAAATGTACAATCCTCTTCCGTTTTGGGAGATAGCTATGGGCGGACTCCGAACCGTGGCTTGAGACGATGTGGATATCCTTGTATCATCAACATGTGAAGCTAAACTGTCTTCATTAAGTACGAACTCTTATACAACAAATTTACGGATATATCCGATTGTTTGATCTTTTTTAAATTATAAAAAAACACCCGGAATTTACATCTTTTATAGTCGCCAGCTCGGCACATTGCTTAACGTGTTTGTACTGAATCGCAAAATACTGAGCTGATCCTAGGTCGGAGGTTCGATTCCCAGGACTTATAAGTCCGGTCCATGAACTGAGACAAAACAAACCGAGGTTTCCTGTCGAATAATGCACTGGCATGCAAAAATATCCATCACTGCTCAAAGATCCTCTGTTCCGAGTATTGGTCTTGTGCAACACTCCACTGTCAGTTAGTGGCGTCTCAATATGTAAAAAATCCTTGAAGGGACGTTAAACAAGATTGATTGTATGTTGTTTAACGTCCCTCGCGATAATTTTTCACTCATATGAAGACGACACCACTTGTCGGTGGAGAGCTGCAAATTTTTTTTCTATGCTCGCAACTCAGGGCCATTGAGCAGTGATGGATCTTTTTCGTGCCAGCACCTACTGAAACACGGAACCTCGATTTATATGGTCTAATCCGAAGGACTGCTCTTCACGTCCCAAAGTGGGATTTGAACCTGCGACGTTAGGATCAACTCATTATTTCGCGACTCTAGAGCAGTAGCAGTTGCTCTAACCACTGCGCCACGAGGGCTACTTCGTTAAACAAGCAAACATATTATATAAAATATCTATGATAATATACTGTTTATGAAGAAAAAGGATAAAGCAAAAGCATCGCGTACCTGAAAAAATGCCTTCAATAAATTCAAAATTCGTAACTCCAATATTATTTTTAAGTTTATATTATCATTCACCGTAACACCAACGGTAGGTAAATTTTTATCGTTTTATTTACTATTATATAAATGTATTATACATTTTCTTGTAGAGTGGTCCCTCAGAGACCCGCTTTCGCCATTTCCTCAGACTGGGTGGCACCCCCCGCGGATTGGGATGACCGGGACCCCTACGTTTCCTCCCCAAGGAGTATGTTTTACACAAACACCAAATATGTGCTTCATAAAGACTTTATTGTCAGTCCCGAATGGATCTCCGAACAAATGAAAGTATCCGAATTTTCTCCAGCTTACCGCACATGCGCTCTTAGATACGGATGGTGCTCGTGATGACCTTTGTATATACCTTACGTCAGTATTGGTTACTTTATATTAATCATTTCAATTGTAACATTTTAAATTCTTTTTGTCACTGAATATTCTGCTTTGATGGAGGGAAATATGTTCTCAAAATGTTTTTGTTTGATGCATCTAAATGCAATGTGGGTCCTGAATTTAATGCATTTTTTTCGATGTTGTTCTTTTCGTTGATGGTGTAAAAACAAGAAACATAGACGGAAGTCAAAATTATTTTCAAATTTGATACACATTTAATGTATGCAACCAAAGATATTATTTGTAAAATTTGATAATCTTTACTTGTTTATGATTTTGCACGAAAATAATAAAACAACATACATATAAACGTACCACTTAATTTTTGATTGATGGATTAAAGTTTTGTACCAGTTTCTTCACCTCACGAAGAGATTTTTACTGCAATGATTATTAGAGTTACTTACCTTATCTGATGAACCAGAAGTGTTTCATCGTGGGAAGTCGTGTACCTGAGGGGTTGACAAAACAAAAAATGCTTTTAGTTTTTTTTATTTTGCATAGAATTAAATTATATTTAGCATTTACTTAGCCACAAAAAGTAATTTTAAATTATTTTTTACTGTCTTATACATTGAATTACAAATCTTATTTTTTAAAAGGGTACCATCACCATTTAATGTAGAAACACGAATAATATTGTATCTGTTAATCAGAGTGTCAACCTCTTCATCTCAATTGATGTTTTTCGCTAAATATGCATGTGGCTCAAAGGAAAAATACGCTGAATCAAGCATACATGTATTTCCCATGCCTGTGTTAACTTAAAAATCTCTATATCAGTGATAAAGCAGTAGTCAATTTAAAAGAACGATTAATTCGTTTTTTCTGCTTACCAAATAGCCCCAAAATGTGTCTGATTTAATTTGAAAATGATGGTCCTCTGTTTGAAATTTTCTGCTAGACATAAAGTCTCGTATTCAGTCAGTTTTGAATAAAAAAGAAAACTAGAAAAGTTGAAGAAGATGGGGAATATCTATAAGAAATACAGGGTGTAGTTATCAACTCACATATTGCTTGAACACACAACTGAACATTTTATGATTAAGAATGTTATTAATGAAATATATGGAGATAAGGAACAATATTAGAGCTCCATAAAACAATACAAAATAGGAGAAGACCAAGCATATACCTTCAAAATAACAGACGTGGTATCAGGTGCCATGATGAGTGAGCATCCCCTGCCGACCGGTCAAACCCGCCGTATGCTCCTTGTCATGATCGGGAAATAACGGAAAATTCAGTGTGTAAATAATGAACTTACAATTAGTATCAAAAACGTCAGTCAGCATTTGACTCAATGATAAGTTGTATTTGCTGACAAGGTCATTGTATCAACCATAGAGGTTACAAAATGACCTTAAACGAGACTGCTGATATTCTTCTTTTATCAACTTCTTTGTCAATAATTTACCTCCTTTTAGAAATTGTACATACGTAGAGTAGCTCTTAGGTATCGAATCATCTGAGACATATCAACCGCGAATGCAGGTGATGAGGGTATATTGCTGCATAAGTAAGGGATTTTGACGATTGAAAAGTTGAAGCCATTCACGTTTATCATTGAAAATAAATACATGAAATAAAAACAAAAAAATAAATAGTTGTTAGATAACCATTAACCTCTTTCTCAAGTTAAATATCCAAATATGAAACAGATGTGTCAGTGTCTTTGGTATCGTTTATCTCAAGTTCATCGGGATATCATATCGACCATTAATGATTAATGAATTAAAAATGAAAATAACCATTGTTTATTGACAATTCGTCGTCCATATATCTAAATGTCGAGTTGTAGGTCACAGCCAGATTATTCTTCTTTTCACGTGTAAGTTTTTGGACAAATTCTTCATATGAATACAAAAATAGGTATGCTAATAACGGAGCACTAATTTATTAATAATTACAGCGTTTAATAAACCCTAGTTAAAAATAATTAGACAAATATAAGATTAAGAATCCAGGTTGATATCTTCCCTCTATATTAGGATAAAACAATTTATACATACAACTACTTATCACTCCATATGAATAGATTAAGAAATTACCAGATTGAGTTTATTCTCTAATTCTCCACTAATCTAAACTTTTAAATCTTTATTGTAATAAATTGCATAAACATTTTTAGATTTAGAAAAATGTATAAAGGATGATGTGACATAACTGCTATCTGGGGCCCCTTTTTCCACGACGAATTATATTTAATCTACAACGATGTTGGTAGTTTTCAAAACATGAGTGAATAAATACGGCGCCTTTTGAATAGTTTCATTAGTTTCGGCACATTTTAATTACAAGGAATACTGCATTATCTTTGATTTTTTAGACCCTACCACAGCTAAATTCGGCCAGGTTTGTGCGAATATTTTCTTTTATGGCAAGAGAATGGGCGGGTCTTAGTACAATAGAGGGATATGCGTGTCCGAGAAGACCTTATATGGCTATTGTTATTATTTCGCACTTAGTCATTGTCCAATCCGATGACAGAACAACAAAACATGCTGGTTTACTACGTTTACATTTTATCGCACACACGTGGTTTAGGTTAATTTACCTGTCATCCTTTTCTACATTTCAAACTTTTATAATGGTCAGCCAATGCTATTCATACTTAATAATACGCATGGATTTTCAGCATTTACAGTTTTTAGGACAAGAAATGCACTTGAAACTTCTATTCACCGATACTCGGGAAAATATACGTGTAGACCTAGCGAATTGCTCACCAAACACGCTACAAAACTTAAAACTAATGTATATCATGTAAATTTTATCAATTGTTTGTAACTGTATATAAACTTTACTGTGCTCTCGGAAATGGTACATATGTAGATCCGTGTCTAATCTGTGACTCAAATGCATAAAAAGATATCGGAAAGCAATACAATTTCAAGCATGTTTCCAAAATATTTTTGGGGTACTCACTCGTAACGAATTTCATTTACCTGATTGGTCAGTTAGAAAGTATCGCCTGTGCCCCGATTAGCATATGAATTCATTCTTACGTCAGAAAATCTAGTTCCGTCGATCTGTTTATAATGGGAAAGGCCAATTAGATTTTACGATTTTTTAAAAAATAGCATGTGAGCGCAGTTAGGTACAATTTTCTCCTTTCACATATAGGTAGATTTCAATAAAATACAGTGACCAGTCAAAGGAGAAAATTGTACCTACCTGCGCTCGTATATTTTAAGGGCTTCAAAGAGTGGGGCGGGGTTAAAATGCTATGGGAATTGAATGTAAACATGCTACCCCTACCCCAATAAAAGACCTATATCTTTCAAATCACGTTTCTTTTTTTGTTAAAAATAGTATTCTATAAAGGTACACATATCAGTGATTAGTTACATACAAAAATTTGACTTAGATTTAGACATTTAATTTTTTGTCAGTATACGAGGGGCCGCAAGTCACCTCATCCTTTGCGTTACTTCTACATCCCATTACTTTATTTAATTATTCCCTAAAAAAACTATATACAGGAGGTACACATATACATATTTTCAATAATTATGGACGGGCAAATCCTAAAAATTAATTACAGGACAGACAGTGTAAAAAAAAATCATGATTAATATATACAATTCCCTAAGAATGCTGGATCACTATTTGTCATTAAATTAGAAGATTTTATCATATTTGGATCATAAATTATTTCTAAAACAAAAAATTCTTTGCATAATAAATATTAACATTTAACAAATTAATTAATTTGACATACTCAGTAATGTCGTGACCTTCTTTCTATGAATGAACGTTGTATGAGCCGAGGATTGTTCATTGTTTCTTAATGAGGTTTTATTATTTACCTATGTTATACTGATTCTCATTCTCAATAAATAGTACCATAGTTAATATAGTTAATAATGAATTGCTTTCTTAATGACAAGTTTCATTCAGAGAAAACAATCAATATGTCTGCGCTGAGTTATAATCTCTGCATATTAATTCGCCCTTTTCAGATATTTCGTCATTAGAATACATGTACATATATTAAGACCTATTGCTCGGTGAAATGTGTTTAAAGATGACATTGAAGATCTGATATTATCTCTAAATTTGGAAGCTTAAATATCGCAGGCATTCTGTTTCGCAAATTAAAGGCATATGACATGTGTAAAATTAGCAAGGTTTTGTTTGGTGTCCTCAATCAATAAAGATTAATATTGTTGCAGCTATAAAATTGTAACTGGACAAGACTGTTTTGTTTTATCGAAATAATCAAACAAATATAGAAAAAATAAACTTATTACATCCGTAAGGTTATTGCATTAGTCAAAATAAAAATAGTTATTTGACGTCATCAGAACAAATTATTAATCTAAATTTAAATTCTAGACATAAATGTGCGTCATTGAGACTCTGAAATTCTGAATATGCATTACGTTAGACTCGGAAGGACAATGATAACGAGCGATATGTCGGACTGTGATTTTGCATAAGTATGATTCCATAAAAGATCCTTTTGCAGTTTTAAAAATAACCTCAAATACAATGCAACAAACGAGTTATTCTAACTCTACATAAACTAACTTGTATAAGATCAACATCTAATCACTCACAAGTACAACGATCGGTCTTTTAACATTTTGTAGAAAATGAGAATGAAGGTAAAAAGGTAACTAGTCTTATGTATGAAATTTATGTGGTTAATACAATCTTAAAATATCGTTCAAAGCTAATTCTTGAAAATGCTGGGTAAAATAAAATCATAACGTATAGAAAGGCATAAAAATAAAAAAGAAAGGTTACAAGAATGGTAAAGATGACAATAACAAACAGTGATAAATCTAAAAAAAAATTAAACTAGATGTATAAACATGTGAAGAGGGCATATAACACACCCTACTGAAAACTCCAGAGGTGGAATCAGGTGCCTGTGAGGAACAAACATCCCCTGTCGATCTATGATACCCGCCTTGAACTATAATTTATTGTTTGGGTAGACGGAACCTTCTGGAGTCAAATTTAGTAAAAACAAAGGCCTAACAACTGGTTTGAAACAAGTCAGCCGAAATCAACCCACTATGTTTACATGCATCTATGTAACATCTATTGTTTTCATTGTGGTCTTACCTTACAACTGGGTACCAAGATTTGAAACACAATCGAAACTACACCACATGCAGATGCATCCTTAATAACATGATTAAACCTGGCTTTTTTGTTCCTTGGAAGTTGACAAAAAACGCCATAAAAATCCTTACAAACAGATAAATAGCGGGTTCTAGAAAATGTTCAACCAAGCCTCTTTCTTTACTCCTCACTAAGATATTTACAGCAGTGAAGGAGAAACTTCAAGAGTACTGTGTAAAAATAT